CATTCAAGGTATGCACCGGACTGCCTTTTCAAACCTAAGCAATAAATATAGAAAGAGAAATTCTGCTTCCTTACTAACAAAAAATAAAACAAGATAATATGGAATAGAATAGCTAAAAATAATGAGTTTTACTTGAATCAAAGTGTTCTGCAAATAAATGAGGCAAAATGAATATTATAAAAACTATAGAAAATCTCATTACTCAATTTGTATAACCCAAAAATAATACTAATAAAACTCCCAAACTTTGCTGTCTAAGTTTCACCAAAATTATAATTTATGTCCATTTACCAACAATAAATGATCCATTTAAAATAAATTAAACGCAACAATATTCAGCTAAATCTGAACAAAACAAAATAAAAAAACCATTCTAGCAAACAGCAACAACAACATTTTTTTCAATATTATTAACCTTCCAAGCCTTCATCGGCAACCACATGTCAAGCAAAAAAAATCTCCTTCACTTGCAAGCTTGTTTTAAAATTGGAACCCATAAAAGTTTTTCCCTCAAAATTTCAACTCTAAAAAAACTTTCGCGGAACCCAGAACATGAAATCCTTCAACTATAAACTATCATTCATAGCGCAAACAGCCTACAAATGCCAGGATAACTAAAATTATCGCATGCACAGATTACAGATTTCTAACCAAACACCCACTTCAAAAGGAGAAAAAAGCATGACGTTCTGTAAAAACACACTCTACACCACTACAGCTACAGCATTTCTGAAACCGTTTAACCAAAATATAAAAGTTTTCTCCCTACCCATCTGAAAAGTAGGTTCCAAAACTAATTTCGGATAAAAGCTTCATATTCAGAGAGTTACACCACGAGCATGTTTACAGCCGTCCTTGATTAGTTGCACCTACTCAAGTCCAATCTTTATCTTGAAAAGTTCTCTAAGTACGGGAGAGGAAAATGGAAAGAAAAGAGAACAAAATATTGCTAGTTGGGAAAAAATACAGTGGCAAATTTTCGAAGAAAACAACAGCAATTCTTTAGCACAAAACCTTGTTAATGGAAGCAAAGAGGCGTCTGAAACATCTTGACGGAATAAACATCTAACGAACAAGAACATTCGACTGCTGTAACGCTGGTGGAGGCGAAGCCGTTACAATATCAGATCCACCCTCAAGATGATGAATCGCTTCTAAGATTGCATTCAGATTTGCCTCGCTTAAACTCTGCGGCGAACGATCTTGGGTAGAATTCATGAGCAGTGGCGTCCGAGAAACGACATCAATATTGATCTGAGAGGTCTGTTGCTGTTGTGTCTGATGAGTATCTTGCATAGCTGTTGATGTCGTCAAAGTACTGTTGCATGTTGTAGGGATACTTCGGTCAACGCCCAGTGGCGCTGAACCATATCCGCCTTGAGTACGAAGTAAATATGGTGTTGTACCGACAAAGCCATTCAGCGTTAAAAGTTGATGCTGAATCAAACCTGTAAAAAAAAAATAAATCCGGCAGTAAAAAGAACGACAAGCTGAAAAAATCAAAACTGCAAAACAATATAATGCTAATCGGCTACTACTGAAACACCCATGACGCACCAGGAATATCATTCGGTGCCGGGAGTACTGATGGGTCGATAGAAGAATGACTGATACCAGATGGCTGGTTTGTGGACACAGCTATAGGTGACAACATTGGAGAGGCTGGTCGCCTTTCACGTAACTGTTGCTCATACAGTTGGCGCAACCGCCTTTCACGTTCCAGTGCCGAGGTCAGCTCATTAACAATCCCTCTATCCCGCGCTTCTTCATCTGAAAAATTACAACTCTTACTGAATGGTTACAGAAAACTAAGGCAAAGTTTCTTTAAACAATGGCATGAAGAATTCGAATACGGAAAACTCACAAGCTACCTAGTACCCCTTGAATTATTTTACATACAACTTCAAACCACCGCAGAAAAAATTTTTTTCAAAACAAACCACATTCAACGAATCCTTCAATTTGCTCCTTTTGTGTTTTTCAGATGATTGCGAGAATTTACTGTTCCTCTACCCCCGCCCCCCCCCCATGTCGTCCCCCCCACTTCGATTACTATTTTCATAACTTACTTCATTTACAACTCGCTTCTTGACTTAGAAAGCAAAAAGTTTAATACAGTTTAAATCTGAAACCTTGATTAAAAAAAAAAACAACTTTTTTAACAGCTCCATAAAGTTAAGAATTACTGAAACACGCGCATGCGTTTCACGTGCTACGGACAACCTACAGTTTCATTGCAGCAGAAACGATGACAAAAAAGCTGCAAAAAATCTTGCCAACTTATTGTTGCTAATTAAAGAGTTGCCAATATAAAACAGCACCCAAAAATATCGCTGAACTTTGAAAAAGTTTTGTAAAAAAGTACTGGGAAAATTAAACAATCACCTAAAGGAAAATAAAGAAATAGAGCCGAACTTTTGCCAAATAATGCAAGCAATAGTCGTCAGTGAAACTTTTGATAAAACAAACTGCACAGAGCACATAAAACTAGTAAATGCATAAAAATGAGACAAAAGAAAACCTCACAGCTTCTGATCAAAAAATAAAAACAACTTCTATTGAAGCTTAACGAAATGCATATGCCTAAAACCGATAAACCCACTAAGAACCTGAACAAACCACTTATGGACCTGTTGACTATGTGTATTAGCTTAAGTAAGAAATAACTTAAAGATGTGAAGTTGTACTTTTACAAAGATCCACTTATAAACCAAAAAGTAATTGTAAACGACTGTCATCAAAGCAGCAAACCTAAGCAAAAGTCGGTTTCATACCAGATAACACTTATGCAAAATTCAACCGAGCTAAAGTCCTAAAAACAATGTTTACCTTCCAGCCGCCGTTTTTTAGACTGTATCGCAGCTTCCTTTTCCTCCAACAACCGATTTTTTTCTGCTTGAAGAGTCTGAATCAACTCCGCAGTGTGTTGCAAAATTGCAGCCTAAAGTAACTTCCATTCCAAACCGTTTCAAAAAAAGGGTTAACATACCAAATTCAATTTACAGAGAAGCTCCAAAAATTTTCTTCCTCAGGCATAAAGAAAACGTCCAAAAATAAAATAAAAGAAAAAACTAACTTTGCTCATTTTTTCTCCATCCCTTTTTGGTAAAAGTGACCTCAGACTTTGAAACCCAGCATTAATACTTTGCATTCTTCTCCGCTCATTACAGTTTGCAATTTGGCGTCTCATTCTTCTTCCCGCCTGCTCGTCATTTGCCGGAAGTGCACAGCCACCGTTCTGCTGCGTCTCCTCTTCCGCATTTCTCCCAGATGATGAAGCTCTAAAAACAAAGCCTGCTCACACCAACCCAAAATCTTCACTATGAAAACTAAATATAAACGTCTCCAAAGCTAATATCTCCGTTGTTTTTTTTAACTGGTAGATTACAATGGTAGCTGTATAAAAACATAGGGAAACTTTAGCAGTAATGAGCAGCAAACTATAGGAAGCAGAAAAAAGACCCACTACCCGCAAAAAAAAAGTAAAAAGCTGCATGAGTAGTCCGGCAAATACAAACTTAGGTAGGATACTACTAAACCTCTTCACCTTCCAAACGAAATAAAGTACAAAAAGAGAAACAAAATTATTAAATGAAAATGAAGACTTTTTATAAATGGTACTTCACCTCAGCACAAAAAAGCATTAACTCACAAGTTGAACTGTGGAAAAAACACAAAGATTTACATAGATATGCGTTTTCAAAAACGTTAATGACCACTTCAAAAATATAGCATATGTTGGAAAATTTAATTACTACAAATTGGTAGTAAATCTAAACTCATCAGATGCGTGAATTTCAATCTACAAAAACCAGTATTGCTTCCCACTACGCACCATTTTATAGCAACCAAATGAAAAGTCCTTTTCATGACACAAACAGGGCGCCTACGTCAAGCCTTATATCAGCCAAAATTCAGGTTCAGTTTAATATCTAGGCGAAAACTAAAAGTCGTAAAATTTCACAGTGACCTTAAAGGCAATTAAGATAGGAAACAAAAACTACAAAAAAAAAAGTGAAAAAGTAAATTAAACAAACAAATAAATAAAACTATCAAAAGAAAAAGAAAGAAGACCAAACCTTAAAATTAGTTCGCTAATATTCATTATTTTCTTTCAGTTCGAAAAATACTTCATTCATCTCCCTCTTATAACTGGTTTTCTGATTGCAACATTACTGACTAAAACCTTCAATACGTTTATTTCATCTTCTTCCTCCCATATGTTTCACTGTTTACAAAGCAGAAAAAAATTCTATTCAATTCCCCCATCATTTGAAAACAGTCATTTACGGAGGAGGAAACTATAACTGTTCAACAGCTAAACAATCATACTGATTTTTGCCCGAAAATTCAACAGTGAATGGATCTATTCACACAAAATGATGATAACCACTGTGACGCCATTGAAAAACAAGTGCAAAACAGCAGATAAGAAAATAACTACGATTTTTGCAGTAGTTTTAAAACAGCTTTTGAAAATTACTCTTTAAAAAACTGAATAAAAATACCTCATTACTATACACCCAGAAAAAACTGTCATTAAAACAACAAAACAATTACGCTTTAAATGTAGTTCCCTGACTAAAGAACTAGAAATCTAAACAACATTCAGAAATGAAGTTCAAGATGTCTTTCAATACTAATCCAATCCTTCATGAAAAATCTTCCAATATGGTTTAGAAACACCTATTTATTAACTCAAATGTCAAACACAACAACTAAGTGAGGTTAATGATAGACCTGAAGAAACAGAAACATTTGCACGTGGTACAGGCAAAAAAAAAACTAATCATTTTCCTTTCCGTGTCTACCACAAGAGAAACGAAAAAATATGGCGCAAAAAACTGCTAAGATTTAAAAAGGAAGCAACTAAAAAAAAAGAATTTAAGAGAGAATCTAGACTGCACTATTTCACTCTACTCTTCACGAAAAATACTTTTTTCGAGTAAAAATAAACACAACTGTTGCAATAAAGCAAGTTTCATCAACAAAACAATCCTAATACTAATATCTTAAGTATGCTAAAGCAAAGTTAAAATACCATAACACAAAATAACATTAGTACTAAAGCTTAAATGCGTTCTACCATTGATAAAAACAAATTCTGCAATCAATTTCAGTTTGTAAACGCTAATTTGCTGCTGTTCAAACAGTTCCATTGACTCTGAATTAGTAGGGTACCACTTTAAAAACAATTTTCCTACCAACAACATCCACTATAATTGATATTACCGTTATTTTTTAGCTTCGCGAGTAATTCTTTTATCTGTGTACAACACTATTTGCCAGAGCCAAAACAGTTCCACTTCGATCCTACTATAAACAAAACTGAGTTTGCACAAGAAATGTTGCGTCGCTTAACAACAAAAAAATTTAACTCTCTCTTTTTTTTTTTTTTTTTCTGCGACAACGGCTATATGAACCATCCAATAACATGAGCTAGCCTGTTTGCACCAGACTATTCACAACATCAAACAACTCAGAAATATGCTCAACGCCACGAAGAGCAGAAAGACTGAGAAACAAAATACGCACAGATGATTTTTCAAATAGAATTACTGCAAAGTGCAAAACAGACAGCAGTTTCAATCGGTTTTCTGTGTAAATTTTTACGACACCCTAACATCAGCCATTAAAAACCTTTTGCAATGACTGCCGAAAAAGTTGCTCCCTAAAAGACACTACATTCTGAAAATCTATTTTACATCGGACAAATCAAACGAGGAAAACGAAAAAATACTTAGTATCAGCCTCCATATCACTGATTATGACATGGAGTTTAGACAAAAACCAACTTTAAATGTTACTCTACGCTTCCGATCAGAATCGAATAAGGTTAAGAAGTATTCCCCAACTTCCCAGTTGTAATAAACAACACATGCGTGCCAGAAAACCACTTCCACCAAACTCAAATCTTCCAGCTTTGTGTCACCCTGTTTTAAAATAGTCGTAAAACAAATTAAGGCTTTCCTTCAACCCTCCAAAGTTAGTTTTAAAAAGTTACTTTTAATAGTAAAAGACTTGCAAGAGTAAAACTTGGTCCCTCGACCTGAATTTTCAAACACTTGAGAGACTTAAAATCTATGACTAAACAGAGAATAAACACTAAAACAATACTCATGTATCAAATTACCATAGCAAAATTTCCCACTACAAAGCCTGATCTTTTTTGAACTTCGCCAGTACCAATTTCTGGCTAATAAAAAACAAAAAAACATCATACTAAAAACTACAACGCTTGGATTTCCGGCAAAAATGAAGGCACAGCTGATGAGCAGCTGTTCGCTGTTAGCTATCTAAAACTAAACATTGCGGAAGGTTCTTAACATTAGCTGCTCTTTGGCGAAACATGTACTAGATTTGATTAACACAGCTAAATAACTTCATCTTCACCACTCAAAATATATTACAATTTTCTATATCGTTATTGTTCTAAAATGACTTAAAAACAACGACCAAAAAATGAACGTAATCTATCTGAAAACAGCAATAAAAAAGTAAACAAAAATACTCTGTCTTGCATCTAATTCCAAAGCGTCTTTTCTTAACGTCGTAACAATTCTTATGAGGCGGAAGCACGGAAATACTCAATGATTCCTAGGAATCGGAAAAAACAAGTGAGAACACAAAAGATGAGGATGCAAACTAATGGCGAGTGCTCGACAAATATTTTGGAAATGTATCAGAAAAAAAGGTAATCTACAACTGGTTATGATTTACGCACTCGAGGCAAAAAAAAAACCAACATAAATCTTGGATAAATATGAACTATACGCAGAAAAAATTTAAGAATAACCTCCTTTGTGGGTGCGACCAATGACAGAACTCGTCTTCCTCTTCATTACCGCTCACCTTATCACTGCTTACCATCGATTCCTCATCAGCACTTTCCGATTTGACCATTTTTCAGCCTGAACAATCCCCACGTCTTTGGCTTGCAACTGCAGCTTTCCAATCAATTGCAGTAGCTCCAAATTGAAATATTGCGGCCCAACTGCAAAAATTAGTGCAAAATTAGCAGACAGAAATACGTTTTTTACTCTTTTTCTTTTTCGCTCTAACTATGGCGTACACTCCTAATGGCAATATGCCAATAGTTCAACGGATACATTTCGAGATAACACTTCTTACTACTATAACAACAAGGACATCAACGAAAAATTTGTTACTTTTTTGCATTTAAAACAAATTGCAAAGAAAAAAACACTTATAATCCACTCATTACTAATTTATGTAAAATTTACCACACTTTTTTTTTGCATAATATCAAACCATATTGAAGGTTTCGGAAAAATTAAACAATGTAATCTTATAGCGCCATAGTTTTGCCCTAACGTTGGGTAAAAACTGGTACTTTTAACAAACACATCCAATAAAACATTAGCGGACTGTTACTCCAAACAACAATAACGAAGATGAAGAAAAAAGAAAAACTAACTGAGAAGCATGAAATTCATCGTAAAAACATTTTCAAAGTCGTGAACAATCTTAATCTAGTCAGAATTCCCAAACGACTTCGGAAAAAAAAAAAAAAAAAAAAAAAAATTTTTTTTTTTTT